AAAGTACCTATTTGGATTTTAATACGTATGTAGTTGACAACTTTAAAAATTTTACATTAAAATTGCGAAATCCGCATGGTTTTTATATAAATATATTATTATCTCGGTTAGAAAAAATGTTAATAAATTAAACATCACAAAACAGTACGATCACAGAACATTACTATAGAACTGATGAACAGAACTAATCGAACCTTAGAGAAACCTACATATATATTTAAATAAGTTTCTGGACTTGATAAGTTGGACTGAGGAATCTCAACTGTTACTAATGTTACCACAAGACACTGGATAAATACTATTGACTTGTGCAGTTCTTTTTAGAATAGTGACTTTTTTGCAGGGGCCCCCTACATGCGGTGAGGCCATTGGCGATTTTTTTACATGTTACCGCTGCCGGGTAATAGCCGGTCTAATGTAAAACCTTTTTAAAAGATAATTTAAGAATGTAACAAGGTAATCCACCCTGTATATTTCACACGTTTACCAAATTAGAATGCGAATTTTACTCGCGTGGAATAAACAGAAAAATTACCTACAAAAAATGTGTAATTTTTACTGAAATTATTTGAAATCTATTGCATCTTGATTTGATAATTTTTTTGTTTCCAATTTGATAAATCACCGAACTACTTGTTTGTGACTTATTAATTTTTACATTAGTAGAATTGTCAACATGATGACAATTCAATGGATAAAACTATTAAAAAATTATTAGTACGTTTTTTCTTTGTATAAGAATTTTTAAATTGGTATTTTTATCTGGATGTACATTTGGTAGTTTTTACATTATGGATGAATGTATTAAACCAAAAAAAAGTGGAAGTATTTTGATGGATTTAGTGGTTCTTTTGACAGGAATCGCCTTGGGCAATGTTATCGCAAAATATGGGCATCTCTTATCAAATGCAACGTCATTTAATGAAATCGAGATGAAAACGGGAGAAAGGCANGGATGAATGTATTAAACCAAAAAAAAGTGGAAGTATTTTGATGGATTTAGTGGTTCTTTTGACAGGAATCGCCTTGGGCAATGTTATCGCAAAATATGGGCATCTCTTATCAAATGCAACGTCATTTAATGAAATCGAGATGAAAACGGGAGAAAGGCAATGCTACTGTAAATGCGATGAACCCAAAAAGAAAAAGTAGTATGCATTATGATACATTCTAAAATATACATAATAATCCCGTCATTTTTGTGAAAAAAGAACGGGACATTTCATAATCAAATACATAAAGAATTTATCATTTCATTATTGTTTTCATTATGGGTACACATTATCTTTATTGGATTATTAAACTTAGTCCTGCTATTGAGATCCGTCAAATGGGAGGAGCCTAAAAACATGGCGCCGATTAGGGAAAATTTATCGTAGTTCCTAAAGTGTACCGTGCAATTTCCAAGTTTTTAAATTACGATAAAATGATAAGTATTGACACAATATGTGATTGGGCTGACACAAAGCCTCGGAAAGGAAATTTCGTTGAAGGTGAGCGTGTTTTTAATGCCAATCACATTATAAAATTCGGAAATAACAAATCCGGAAGCTAGCCTTCAAATTCCGTCAAGTTTACTGCCTACTTTTTACAAACTTCGGATTTAAAAAGTGATTCACGTTATATAATTGGTGAGGTGATTCTGGGTGATTTAAGCAATATCATATCAATGACTTGCACGTGCAAAGCCGATTTAAGAGAACGTTGCAAACACATTATTGCAACTTTGTTGTATTGCAGCAGGTAGGTTCTTAACCTCAAAATACTTATATCGTATCATTAGAATTGTGTTAAATCAATTACACAGGAATAAATAATTTCTCACTTTATAATTTTAGTATGATTCTAGTTTTAAATATTAAGGTTATGGCTGATGGTAAATACTTGCTGAAATATAATCATGTGCATTAAAATGACGTGAACAAATTTTTATTCCGGAATTCACTTCTTTGATACCTACTGCTTTCATCCAAGCTTCTATTAGTTTACTTTTTTCTCTAATTTTCCGAATATATTTTTTACATATATAAAACGGTTAGTTTTTATTGGAAAGTAGTTAATGTAGGTGAAGAGTGAAGATCTATGTCTGAAGTGCTATTGCAGCTTTTCACTGAACATATTAACTTTTTATTTGATTTAACTTTAGAAGAAAACTTCGTCGACTCCATCATCAAAAAAATTTTTACTTTTTTAACGTGTTTTATTATTTTAATAAACAATTTTACAATTTGCGTGCACAGTTCCTATGTAAATTTTTCCCTCATTCGAGTTATAAATTTTGCCACCAGATGGTGTATGCCCATTTGACGGATCCCAATTGTCGCCACTTGGATTTTCTCACCACCTAATCAAATCTTTCTCGCTAATTCAGTCGTATCGTCGAGGACAGAATCTTATCGCACCTAGTATTTTAGGATTGTCCCTTTGTTTGACAAATTCTACTAGTTATATATACAGTAGAACCTTGATAAATTCATAAAATTTTGTGTTTCCTTCCCCTCGGAGTCCAAAACCTCTAGTACTTAAAATAAAAACCCTCTATAACTTAAACGAATAATTTGGGCATCGCACCTCAGTAAGCAGTGAAAAGTGGTTTGAATCGGGAGAAAGTCTTATATGTAAAAGACGAAGAATTGCTGAATTTCCTTATTTAGAAAAATGCTTATTGTTTAAATGGTTTAGACAGTGTAGAAATAAAAACATTAGTGTTAGTGGACCTATACTAAAGGAAAAAGCTGAAGAGTTTGCTTAGTCACTGGAAATCCATAATTTTAAAGCTGAAACTTGAACCCTTAGTAAGTAAAAACCTCAATAACTCAAATTATTTTACGTTTCCCTTGGTCTTATCTTATCGAGGTTCTACTGTATTTGGAATAGCATGTATATGCAAACATATACATAAAATATTGTATACATTCACAGGCCTATAAGTACATCGCAGATATTAGACTGGTAGAGCTGGGCAAATTGACAATTAACAATAGATTAATCGAATAATCGAATATTAATCGATAACAAATTATTTTTTTTATAATCGATTGTTAAATTTAATAATCGCGCATCAACCCTTTGATTTTGACCATTGGTAAAAGCTAGTTGTAAAGAAGCTCAATACATTAGTTAGGAAAGCAAATTATTACCCTATTTTATATGTATAATTAATTCAGTTTATAACCATAATAAAGGCTTACAAAACAATAAATTAAATCTAAATAACATCGTTTTTAATATTTGTTTCGTCGCGATAGTGTCACTAATAAACTTAATTAAAGCATCATTATTAATAACTTGTCATTTGATACTTTGTGATTTATATTTATTAATATTCATATTTTAATAAGGTTCGAGCTTCTAATAAATTATGAGCAATTTGAAGTGTCTATAAGTATGTGTGTATTTGTTATTTTTCGTCAAAACCTTTTTCATTTATTTTTATTCTGTACTCACGTTTAATAGATTGTATTATAAACTTGATTCGTAGAAATAATTTCTCTTCTATGTCTTATTAATATTTTTGGGCTAGTGTGGATAAAAATCTTTAAATATATTTTGTATGTGAACGTTCATGTNCCTTTGTTTGACAAATTCTACTAGTTATATATACAGTAGAACCTTGATAAATTCATAAAATTTTGTGTTTCCTTCCCCTCGGAGTCCAAAACCTCTAGTACTTAAAATAAAAACCCTCTATAACTTAAACGAATAATTTGGGCATCGCACCTCAGTAAGCAGTGAAAAGTGGTTTGAATCGGGAGAAAGTCTTATATGTAAAAGACGAAGAATTGCTGAATTTCCTTATTTAGAAAAATGCTTATTGTTTAAATGGTTTAGACAGTGTAGAAATAAAAACATTAGTGTTAGTGGACCTATACTAAAGGAAAAAGCTGAAGAGTTTGCTTAGTCACTGGAAATCCATAATTTTAAAGCTGAAACTTGAACCCTTAGTAAGTAAAAACCTCAATAACTCAAATTATTTTACGTTTCCCTTGGTCTTATCTTATCGAGGTTCTACTGTATTTGGAATAGCATGTATATGCAAACATATACATAAAATATTGTATACATTCACAGGCCTATAAGTACATCGCAGATATTAGACTGGTAGAGCTGGGCAAATTGACAATTAACAATAGATTAATCGAATAATCGAATATTAATCGATAACAAATTATTTTTTTTATAATCGATTGTTAAATTTAATAATCGCGCATCAACCCTTTGATTTTGACCATTGGTAAAAGCTAGTTGTAAAGAAGCTCAATACATTAGTTAGGAAAGCAAATTATTACCCTATTTTATATGTATAATTAATTCAGTTTATAACCATTATAAAGGCTTACAAAACAATAAATTAAATCTAAATAACATCGTTTTTAATATTTGTTTCGTCGCGATAGTGTCACTAATAAACTTAATTAAAGCATCATTATTAATAACTTGTCATTTGATACTTTGTGATTTATATTTATTAATATTCATATTTTAATAAGGTTCGAGCTTCTAATAAATTATGAGCAATTTGAAGTGTCTATAAGTATGTGTGTATTTGTTATTTTTCGTCAAAACCTTTTTCATTTATTTTTATTCTGTACTCACGTTTAATAGATTGTATTATAAACTTGATTCGTAGAAATAATTTCTCTTCTATGTCTTATTAATATTTTTGGGCTAGTGTGGATAAAAATCTTTAAATATATTTTGTATGTGAACGTTCATGTTTGTCGTAAATTTTTTCGATATTTATTAGACAGGGAGAGAAATAAAACTTCCATCATTCCGATGATATTGAGCTATAGATGGGTAAAATACAAAAGTAATTTGTAGATTTAGCAGTTAAAGCAGACAAAATTTAATTTAATTTATAATTAAATCTTGCTAACGACGCGGGCGACCTGCGTTCGATTCACAGTAGATGCAATACTTTTTTATTCTTATGGTCGGTATAATAAATTCGTGGGATGTCGACCACACGCGAACTCTAGCTAAATGAAAGATGCATAATAGTAAAATGTATTTATATTGTACAGATTTAAAAATTACATAATTAATATAAAGCAAATGATAAAAGGGAAAATTAAAGGTAACAATAGTTTTTAAGGCACTATAATAAGCCACAGTTATAACAAGTGATGTTCATTATTGCATTATTTAATCTTTAAAAATACTTGCATTCAATTTGGTAGTTATTTTGTACTTTTTATTTTTGGAATTTTAAATATTGAGAAACAGATTAAACTCAACACATACACAACCTTATATAGAATACATTAAGTAAAATCTGAATAACGTCAAAATTGTAAATAAAATAATATATATATCGCTTTGTTTGTAATATGGGAACGATAATTCAGATTTAGTTTCTGAATACGAATAAGATTAAAACCTTACCTAGTAAATTATAAATTAAATAAATTGCACGTGGTGCCCTGCGTACAAAAATATGTTTGATGTTAATTACTTATTAAAGAGCACCACTTATAATTTATTTAAGATCTAGTTTTTGTTAATTTCAGTGAGTAAATAAATTTGTTTAAGCAGGTAAACTTAACTCTAACACGTGTGAATAAAACACTTATATTCAATAAATAATATTTAAATAACAATTCACAGATTTGTGCCATTGGGAGTCATAAAAAAAAATCTAATAAAAAATCAGTCACACTAAGGAAATTATGTAAAGATGTAGTTAATAAACAGCTCACAATTCTTTAAATTTCTACTATTAAGAATAAATAAAAGTAGTGGATTATATTTTCAATTATGTATGTAATTAGGATACTTATTTGATAATTTTGTCGAAATAGACACTAATCCCTTACCAAAAATCGAATTTTTAATGACTTTGCAGACATATTTGGTAATTACCTGCTAATTTGGTTTAAATTGATAACAATGTTTGGCATCACAGTTTAGTAAAAAACATTTTTGAGAATTCTCAGGTTCAATCTTATTTCTGATAAGATTCATCCTAATGTACATACATTTCATAAGCATTTAATTAAAACAAAACGTTATAAAAATACAGACTTTTTTAATATGGGGTAGGTATTTCCAATTTTGGCAAGAGTATTACATAAACTGAAAAGTCAAAAATAACTTTTAGATGAGTAAATAAATAAAATTAACTCAAATTAGTAGTATACAAACGTAATAACTAGAAAGAAATAAAATATCCAATTAATTCTACACATAACACAAAACACAAAAACCGAAAAACATACATGTCAAATTTAAAACGAAATTATTTTTTCGTTAACATTTTAAAATGATATGTACAGATTTTGGTAACGACATCTTAATACTTTTTTAATTATGAATAATCTTCAGTTTAAATATATTTTTGGGTTACATTGACGCACTTGTTTTATAAATTTTAACGTACAGCAGTATATGTATAGTTAGGACCCTGTTAAAATAAAATAAATTAATAAAAATATTTATCTATAGCCATAAAAAAAAATGGTGCACCTTAATTAATCACCAGTTACCTCTAAGTGCAACCCAAACTTAAAAACTAAGGGCTAGTTACATTGTATAACAACAACAATAATTATTATACGTTAAAGTCATTTACTACTTGAACTTGTTGATGCAAAAGACATTTTTTTGCCATTATCACCCGTTTTGCAATTAATACTTATATTTTTAGCAATATTTTGAATTTCGTTGTGGCAAGATTCACATTTCATTGCAGTCTCTCTAAAAGGAAAAGAAATTAGATAAATATTAAATCGCTTACGTAATATTTATTGTTTACTAAAAACAAAAATAAGGTAAAAATAGAATACATTCGATAGTGAGAATATCGCATAAAAGTGGCCCCGCATAATATGTACTGCTTATCATTTATGCCAAGACACCGTATACTGTAAACAAACTAAACCTTAACTTAGAAATTGATATAATTCTTGCGATTCAAGAATTAAATGATGGGCAAGGTACGTATTTAGCCACAAAATAGGTTGTCGCAAAATCTATAATTGTATAATAGTTGCCCATCAACAAACTAAAAATTTTATCGTGACGAAATAATTAAGCAAGTCAAAATTAATTCGTGAAGAATAGGCTACAACGTTTTATAAAACTACTTGGAACTCCCTTTTTTACTGTTTAATTAGTATGCATTAGTGTTTTATACCAGTATGTATGTTTATTATATTGGTTAATATTCATTAATCGAAAAATCGATAGTTAACAGTAAGCTGTTGTTTTTTTACACTATTCAGTGTCTACTGTAGCTAGATTCAAATTACAAAAAACAGAGTAAGTCATATTCTTATTAAAGTTAAGTAATAATAATTACCTCAAAATTTTTTTTAAATTGTCATTTTCTAAAGAATTTCTATGTAAAGCTTCATGTAAAGAATCAATGACAGATTCTTTCTGTCTAAGCTGATCTTTTAATTGAAAGATTGTATCTTCATAAGCAGCAAACATTGCCTGAAAACCAAAATTTAAGTTATTGTTTTCTGTATATTCTTTTACTCTTTATTTTTTTATTTTACCTTTGCTTCTTGGTTACTCTCTGAGCAAATTGGGGGTTCATTAAGGCAAAAGAAGTCTTCAACTGGTTGCAATTTTAATAGTTCAGGTTCTCTCAAAATTGCATTAACAAGTGTTTGTAAACCATTAATTCTTTCTTCCAGAAATAAAGGATTAAAATTACTACCAAGCCATCTTTTCCGAGGTAGATATTGCACTACATGTGGAAAGGATTTCTTGAGCTTATTGCACAGCCTTACAAAGTCGGTATAGCGCCGAAAAACATACCAGCACTCGCCAGTATGTTTATATTCAATCCTTAACTTGAATACCTAGAAAATATTTTAAAATTTGTTAAGTTGACATCTTCAAATACATATATTCATTCTTACTGTAAACCTTGCCCTCTCTTCCATAATCTCATATCCAATAATTGGTATTTGAATTTCTCCTGGGACATCATTGCAAACATAATTTCCATTTTCTTCTGTAATTGTCATACTACTGTGAGGTGTTAAGGTAACATCTGAAGAAGTACTATCACCAGAGCACTGAAAGTCTCGGAACCTGAAGAAACGGTTCATTATAAAATTGTGCAAATATCTTCAACATATGGAAATAGACTGATTGATAAGTAAGAAAATTATAATTGCTCATTCTTTACTTTTATCAGAGATACAATGTTGTTTAGTAATGGTACAAGCAAGTTAATGTTAAAGTCAAAATGAATAATAGTGATAAGTACCTCAATGTTTCTGTTAAGCACTCGTCCGAATCAGTGGTTGCCACTTCTTCTGCAGTCTCACAATCATCAACAGATTTTGATAAAGGATGAAATGTGGTAGGACGAATTTCTAGAGAACTGATGGAAGAAGTGATTTCGTTTACTCTGTCTTCAGACATTTCTTTCTGATAAACATCAGGAACCTTTCATACGTTCTAACGGTTTTTTAGTAAACCACAAGTGAAAACCGTCCATCCAATAGTAAAATTTACTTTTTAATCTATTTTAACCACAAAAACTTGACGACTTTCGCTTCACGTAAACAGACAATTGTTCATAGTCATAGATAATTCACAGCATATAATTCGGTTTTTACAATCCATTGAACTCTGATCATAGATAAAATTTCGACCATACATGATTTATTTTACAAATGAATTATAGACAAATCACATTAATATGAGAAATTGTGTATTTACGAGTTATTTAAAATTTTGAAATAAAACGTTAATTATACACTTTAGCTTGAACATATTGAAAAACAAAGAAAAGCAATTACTGTATATGTATAATTTAGACACTATCCAACGCTTTAATATTCACAATTATGAATTATCTACGGTGTTGAACATCACAAAATCCATAATCTATATCAATCTGTCATATGCTTATCTATGGTCATATATGACGCGGGTCAGATGATATGTATGTTTTAAAATATTGATATTTAACTTGCTTTTTTGTGTGTTTATAGTGTATTTTATATTTTAAGTATTTAACAACGTAGTTAACTCGTTTTTCTCAATTTGTGCAGAATGAAGATAGATGAGAGAGAAAATTAAAGTTTATTTTGATATCATTGAAAAAGCAAGTCTGGGCCTTGTAGCTGTGAGCTGTTACAACCACTATAGTGGATTTTGTAGTTAATTAAGGTGAGCATACATGCTATAAAATATATACAGTTTTGATATTAATAGTGGAAAAAGTTCGGTATTATTTTAACCTGATATTATGAAAGTTATTTACTAGGAGGCTAAATTTGTATATCAGAATACTTTTTCATAATATTTCATTTTACAGGAGCATTGTAACAAATCTTGATCCCATGTGTTATGGGCCATTGATTGTATCTGTCCTTGTTCGACCCAAAACTTTACATTTCTTTACTTATGGTCGTAAAGAAAGCATGAAAGTGCCTTTTTCCATTAGGAATGAAAACAGTATGTTGTTGCTAAAGAAAGGATTTTATGGCAATGAACTGGTAAGCAGCACTATCATTTAAGAATAGTACTTGAGGTCCCAGAAACTTCAATTTCTTAGACATGTCACTTTCTTTCAGTAACCAAATTTTAAACAACGTTTCAGATATTGTAGAAGAAATTAAATATACTAATTCACAACAGTGTTAAGGAGGTATATTTAAACATAAAGTAATTAATATTCAATCATTGTTTTCGTTTTTTTGCCTCTGCTGTATGTCCACAGCATGTATTGACATTATGAATATAATTATTTTATGCATCTTATCTTGAATGTAAAGCCACGTCCGTCATTTGTCTCTAACTAGACCACCACATTGCGAGTTTAAAATGTTACTGATTTGCTTGCTTTAAAAGTGGTAATTAACTACTTTTTCTTGCTGTTTTTTATAGATTGTCCATTGCAGTTAATTTTGATGCTACTGAAACAACTGATGCTTTTGAAGTCTTCGCCTTGCAACATTATGCAATGGATCTGAGAGGGAGACAACTGAAGATCAATTTGGAAACCATTCAAACAACACTGCAGAGGTAATCATCATGTATGAGTAATGTTCAAAAAACTTTATTTATTGTAGACACACAAGCACATGCAGGTTTTTTTAATACTCTGAATGCTAAATTAATTATATCTGAATACTCTTTAATAAGATTTCATTTTACAGGATAAAAACTTCGGACGCCATTAAGTTATGGAGCCTTGGTTGTATCAGTCCTCATTCGCTTCAGAAAGTAGCTATACATATGTTCCCAAAGGAATATGAAAATACTTTTTTCCTATTGGGAATTGTTTGTTACAGAAAGGAAAAATTTATGACAATGAATTGGTAGGTAGCAGTATTTACTAATTGAAAATAGCAAAAAGATTTCAGAAACTCCAATTTTTTAGATATTTGCAACTTAGTTTCAACAGACAAGTTTTAAGTAATGTTTCAGAAATAGCAAAAGCAGGAGAACAGTAGAATGAATGTGGAGCTGACCTTTATATTACTGATTTACTTGCATTGAAAGTGGTAATTAATTACTTTTTCTTGCCCATTTCTGTAGATTCTTCATGAGGAGGAATTACAGTTAATTGAAACAACCGATGCTTTTGACGCAAGGGAGAGACAACTGGAAATGAATTTGGAAACCACCGAAACAACAGATTGTCTGCAGTGATATCCCTCCTGGATTTGGCTTGCGCATTACACTTCTCTTCTAGGCTTTATATCGCCGCTTTCTGCACTTAATTAAGGTAAGAATGCACGACATAAGTAATATTAATTACTCTATTAATCTGTGATGGTATTTCTTTTAATAATTTTCTATTGCCTACAGTATAAATTAACGTTACAACATATCTCTAGTATATGTTTTAACATTTACTTATTTATTTGCTTTTTGATGCATGTTTCTAGGTGTGTTGAATCTCTTCCTTAATTAATATGTTTTTTTACTCATTTCTGCAGATTACCCAACCAAGTAGAGAGACTTAAAGTTTAGTTTAAAAATACTTAGATTTTAATATACTGTTTAGGGTTAAATCATAATAAATAACCAATCATTTCCAGTATGTTAGTATTTGTTGGTCTTGAAAAAATTCAATGGTTTAAAAAGATATATCGAATTTTCCTATTTTAAAGGCGTTTAATTTTGAAAATCCCTTGTATAAGGAACATTATGCAAAATTTTATATTGCGTCGCAACCAGTAAGAGAGTAAGCTAGACATCAAAAAATTGAAAATATGTTTGCATATTTATTTATTCAATTGGTATTATACGTAATACTAACTAATTAAAATGAATCTTACATCTAAACTTGTAACTGAAAATACCAACCCTCGATTTGTTCGTCGTTCATCATTTGTTTCTTTATAAAAAATTACACAAATTTTCATTTGACTCCCTTAGAAGTGAACTTTTTTGCTTTTTTAATTAATCAATTCGTATTCAATACCATTCATTTGATTATAATTTTTCGTTTATTTGATTACCAATAATATTTAATTAGTCTTATNAAAGATCGGATCGCGATCCGCGTCTGGCAGTTTCAACAGAATACAGACCACTTCGAATTATTTTATAATTACATTTATTGCATATCTCCAAGCCCCCCCCCAGACTCAACTGCTATTCTCCTATTTAGCGCCTCTGTCCCTTTCATAACTCTCCCTCCTCAACCCTTCCACCTCTTCTAACTGTCTTCTTCCAAATACTGGTATCTAAACTCTACGATAACCCTCTCTTCACTCCCTTCCAATATCTTTATAAAGTATTTAATCCCCCCATCCCTTTAATCTTACCACTCACTTGTGCTTTATTACCCCTCCGTGCCCCTTGACGCCTTTAAATTATTTTATCACTGCGTCCTTCCTTGCTTCCCTTAAACTGCTCTCTATACTCAAATCTTTGTTTTTGTGCTCTTCGATTTCCTTTCTTCCACCCCTATCCAATTCGCTAACGTTTGCCTTCAAAACATTTTTAAACCCCATAAACGTCCCTGCCTCAAATATAACCCAGTTACAAATACAAAATAATTTGCTTTTTACGTCATCATCCTTATCTTCTCTCCCCGTTTCACTTAATAATATTATACGTTATCTCCTCACAAACTCCCAAAAACCTGTCACATTCCAAGCCAACACCTTTACATTCAATATAAATTTGAAATCTTTTACCCACTACAAACTACCTCATTAATTTGAGGTAGTTTGTAGTGGGTAAAATTTAAATGGAAAAAATGATTTCAAATCTTACATCTAAAGTTGTAACTGAAAATACCAACCCTCGATTTGTTCGTCGTTCATCTTTTGTTTCTTTATAAAAAATTAAACAAATTTTCATTTGACTCCCTTAGAAGTGAACTTTTTTGCTTTTTTAATTAATCGATTCGTATTCAATACCATTCATTTGTTTATAATTTTTCGTTTATTTGATTACCAATAATACTTAATTACTCTTATTTTTTCTTTATTGATTAAAAGTATGTGTGGTTCTGTTGTTCTTTATAAAATATATAAAAAAATTACAAAATAGGCTTATAAGTAATCTTAAAATATTGTTTGATATTTAAAACGGTTTATTTTTTCAAAAAATATATGCATAGGTGTTTTTTCCAATTACTTGAAAGGGATTTCTTTGCAGGGCAGATGGTGCAACATTTTATCATACTTTTAATTGATAATNGTTCAGACGAACTTGGTACTATTACATAAACATGTTGAAAATTGACTGTATTTTAACCGAGAGATAAGACTGTTAAAATACTAATAGGAGGGAAGCGAGGTAAAGGGACAACTACGATGGGAACTATTTTTACGTATACTTATGTAAATACATCGTAAATTGTTTGGCTTTGTATTGTTTTCTCTTGCGGTTTTTGCTTGGCAGCTTGACTGATCAATAATATTGTTTGGTGGACGACGATAATATATGTACATACATGCCGATATATTGCCACAAATAATAAAATTAAAATACATGAAGGAGTAGATAGATAATTGGACAACTGAACGTTTTCATTAAAAACTGCGAAATATAAATAAGAAATTGCCTATTGATTGTACTTAATTAATATATCAGTCTAATTTCTTTCATAAGAATTATTGTGAAGTTATTTTTTGAGGTTTTCATATCAAAAGTGATAAAAATAAATAAAAAAAAATACGGCGTGTAATTATACAACACGCTAATGAAGTGAAACTTCTTCAAATACGCAAACATACCGCGATAGGGGTTAAGGAATTGGTTTAATGGTATTATTTGTACACTATGCTTCGCACGGGTGCAATGCTGATAGTAAATATACTATAGAATGTCTTTACATACAATAATTACAGCTTTTTATCATTAGACAATACAAACCGGCCGGTACCGCCGCAACCCTGCATTTTAAGTCTAATATTTTCGAAAATATTCATCAAAATTACATGCTGTAAAGGGCCATATTCATCTATATTAAATGCACAATGTATTTGAAAGTACTTATTGGATAAGAATTAATGCTTTATTGCTTAAAATCGCTTCGTAAATAAGCCATTATTTCTCGTAAAAAGTAAAGGATAAAAAATGGTTATTGTGGGTTATCCCTAAGAGATATACCATCGCGGACTTTTTTGTAGACCTTTTTAAGGTGTACAATACTCTAGTACATTATTTTGATCTATCTCGTAGGGTTCAGCCAGCATTTGCAATGTATGCGCAAAAAAATGTGTTTATTTACGACATCACATTACANTTTTACAACACGCTACTAAAGTGAAACTTCTTCAAACACACGAACATACCGGGATAGGGGTTAAGGAATTGGTTTAATGGTATTATTTGTACTCTATGAATTTAAATTTTACACTTTACATGCCGGAGTTTTCCGTAACGAACGTTGCATTGAAGCGCGCTCACGGCTCAAGCGATCCTCACTACGAGACATCCGTTGCATGATTTCGTTACATAGCAACTCGCATGAAACGAACTTGCCCTACCGTTTGTAAAGGAGTTTCACTTCAATAATATTATTTTTTATACTACGTAACACTATTGAAATTATATTTCACTAAATTTTACACACTAAGGTTAGTTATATTCGCACGAGTGCAATACTGATAGTAAATATTATACTATAGAATGTCTTTACATACAATAATTACAGCTTTTTATCATTAGACAATACAAACCGGCCGGTACCGCCGCAACCCTGCATTTTAAGTCTAATATTTTCGAAAATATTCATCAAAATTACATGCTGTAAAGGGCCATATTCATCTATATTAAATGCACAATGTATTTGAAAGTACTTATTGGATAAGAATTAATGCTTTATTGCTTAAAATCGCTTCGTAAATAAGCCATTATTTCTCGTAAAAAGTAAAGGATAAAAAATGGTTATTGTGGGTTATCCCTAAGAGATATACCATCGCGGACTTTTTTGTAGACCTTTTTAAGGTGTACAATACTCTAGTACATTATTTTGATCTATCTCGTAGGGTTCAGCCAGCATTTGCAATGTATGCGCAAAAAAATGTGTTTATTTACGACATTACATTACAAACCTCTAAAATTATCAGTGTTTCTCTACTATATTATGCATGTATTATACATATAAACCTTCCTCTTGTATTACTCTATTAAAAACAAACCTCATTGAAATCCGTTGCGTAGTTTTAAAGATGTAAGCATACATGGGGACAGACAGCGGGGGAAATGCGTTGCATGATTTCGTTACATAGCAACTCGCTTGAAACGAACTTACCCTACCGTGCGTAAAGAAGTTTCACTTCAAAAAAACTAAAACCTCACCGCCCCTTCATAATAATAAATAAATTGTAATAAATTATTGGGATTAGTAAAAACCCGTAGTCACTTTTTTCTCAATTTAAATAATGACGTTTTTACTAATATCCATTTTTTATAACAATAACACTAAAGAGATCTGTTAGCAGTTACTAATGACTCTTGTTTACAACTTTGGGTCACATTAAGTTAAAAATGCAAATACAAATAAGAAACAAATAAGAAACATTGATATATTATTGTATTATTTTTCAGTCTTCTCAGTATTCGCTATCAAGGTAGAGCAAGTGAAGACGGGCTGATGCCAAAGAATCTCACTCACATCTTTTTGAATGCGTTGTGGAAACTATTTAAAGGCGGTCGGTTTCAGTTTACGAATTAAGCCGAATAACCATAATTGAACGCGCCTATAAAACCTATTATCTATGTATCATAAGTATAGAAGAAGGAATTTTCATCTGTGGGTCTTCCGTCGATGTCATTTTGTCATTCCGTGTTCGATCTTCAAGAAGACGACAAGTCGCCTGTTTTGTTGTCCACAAACGAAGACAACGCCTGTAGGTATTTAGTCTAATACTTATCCTATTTTCATTTAATTGTGTGGAATACGTTTCTATTTAGTGATTGAGGGGTGTCGATTACCGTTGCTTAGGGTTTTTTTGGCGTAAACGATTTCGTGCTTCAACATTGCAATTCATCATGGCATCTTACCTGTCCACCACCATCTACTGTGAATTTTTTACATTTTCGGTTTAGCTGAGGTGGAATAATTAGGCTTTTGTTATAATTTTTCAATTTTGAAAACAGTTTCAGGCGATGTTTGTAGATTTTTCATATTGATATGACCACGTCGTGAGGATTGCTTTCGTTTTGTAATGAAATGTAAAGTATTTCTTAAAGATATTATTGTGCCTTTAAAATTCTAAATTTCTCAAAAAAAACTTACTTTGTTATGCTATAGATTTGGTTTTAACGACTGTTTTATTTTTATAATATAGGCTTGCCAAGAGATAGCATCCTTGAATTAGATAGACAAACTACTTACAGATGTAATATTGTAGCAGTCAGACTTATATTTCAAAAAATTATAATGAGCTAGTCGAAAAATTCGTGGGACACAAGTATTAACAATGATAATTATCGTTAATAATAAACTAATAACGCCTAGTGAACATATAATTAATATTCAGTTGTTTCAACAGGTTTCCATTAAATCCTAATATTGTGAACATGGAAAGGGTAAATCAAAAGGACTCGAAACGTGCGGAAGCAGAGCCCCACTCACGCTTCTATCTCTTGTGCTTGAAAAGGGACCATTTGTAGAAAGGGTAAGAAATCTTTAATTATTTTATAGTTGCATTTACAAAATAATTTTTAATTTTCTAAATGTTGTATTCCATTTGTTTGACACTAATTATTACTGTAATTTTTAATTCTTCTGAATTGTAGTAGTTAATTACTTAATTTGATGGTATCTTATTTGATTGATGGAAGTATGGTTCTTAATATTTTAAAACATAATACTTGAGATGATAATAACATTAAATTGTTTCAACAGGTTTTAACAAGGTAAAAAAATTAGAAGGACTGGAAACCTGGAGGAGTGGAGTCCCATTAATGCTCCCTTCCCTTGGACATGAAAGGTGCAATTTTTAGAAATACGTGCAGTCCAATTGACACCGATGTATATAAAGTTACACACGTGATGTCTTCTACTATGTGGCTCATTTCATCATCAGTGGTATTATTTTCCCTTTCTCAAGCATCTATTGTTGGAGAAACTTCTCTGTTATCAACGCTTATGAATAAAACGAATACCATAGAAGAATATATTTGAGGTAAGCGGTTGTTTTACTGTTTAATTATTTCTCTGGCATCTATGGTTTCGCTTCTATCAATTATCTATTGTTTACAGCATAAATTGACATCGTCCATCTATGGTTATCTCTATTGCTTTTGGCATTTATCTGTCATAAATGTAATTGACGCCCATGTCGCCATTTTATAATGTAGTTATTTACTTGCCTTTTGGTGCATGTTTTTATTGTATTTCATGTTTTACTTAACTTAATCCCTTCTTTAATTAATATTTTTTTTT